AGCGTTAGGTAGGTCATCTGTGGGCTGTGTAAAGTTAGAGAGGATCTGGCCTACATAGACGTCTCGCAGAGTGGGAGGGAACACACGAGAACGGGCAGAGAGGACGCTGTTCTGTTGGCTGTCAGGTCTCAGCAGGTGCCTGAAGAACAAAACACTGCTGCGTTTGACCGTCACCTGTTTTTACACTACATCTCTAATTCTAGGCTACTGTGCTGCGCTCGTTCATCATGCAGTCGACCTCGTTAGCCAACGTCGTCAGACACCGGGCACCGAGCCCGCCCCTTAAACAAACAAATAAAGAAAATAATGAAATTAAATGTTGATGTTTCTTACTCCCTGCTCTCACTCCATGACTCCTTCCCCGCAGGGGGGCCACCCAATTCTTTGGGAACCACAGACATCGACAATCTGTAGATGGCGTTAATGAGTGGATGTCGATGTCTTGGATGTTTGACGGGAGAGGACTGTAATTGACCTGTGTCAATTTTTTACAATTTTTTTTTAGTTTTCAAGACTTTCAGATATGAAAACATTTATCTCTGTTAAAAAAAACTCAACAGAGTTTATGCATCACTTCCCACGGGTCGTGAAAAACCTGGTCCTGGAAAATGAATGACCGATTTTCCAATCATGGAAAACACATGTGATATGAGTAAAGAAAGTCACTTAAGTTACTGTGAAAACTGTTCCGTCCAGCCTGCTGCTCCCTACACTGGGAGAAAAGACAAACAGATGCAGTGAAAGTCCATTCTGTGGACTTCCTTTCCATGAAGCGCCCCCTGTGATGCTTCCAGCAAATTACATGTGTCATGTTATTGCAGCTGTTATTTTTTTCAGTTTTCATTTGACTTTGCTGCTTTGGATTTTCATTATCGGAGGAAAAGCCGATAACGATTCTTACAGATATTACATAATTATGATAATATCGGTTAACCGATATTATTGGACATCCCTAAAGATATTTTGTGATGACCTCGTTTTGTGATAGATCGGATTCAAAATCTAAATCCTAATTGAATATTGATTCATTGCACAGCCCTGTGTTCATTAAAAACCGTTGACCAGTCATTTACAGTTCTCTGTGTGGAGTGTTTTCTAAAGGTCTTAAAATAGCCAAAATCTGAATTCCCCTCTGCTATAATAGTGTAACATTAGAGTTTGATAGATCAGCTCAAGTGGAAAATACAGGCATTTCAAAGCCGTGAGATTAATTCCATTGGCTCCGAGTCGACTTTCTAAAGAAAAACAGGAAATTTCTCTCGTTGGCCTAATCATCTCTTCATCTCTTTCTTTCTTGCACTGATTCACACATGTTATAGCAGTTAGCATTATGTTTACACAGAGATGTAATGGAATTTTTCTGGGGGCTGAAGTATCAAATCATCTCATCCAGGGAATTCTAAGAGTAGTTTTGATTTGTGTATGAAACCTGAGTACTTGGAACAAATGTTTCACATAATGTCAATTTACTGACATCTCACCACATGGTCTTGGCTTAAAGTGGGGCGTTAGCATTAGCGTTCTTGTAGCATGAGGAGGTAATGCAGTGCCAAATGGGGGAGACGCATCTCTCTGTCTCCCCCACTCCGCTCTTCTTCTTCAGTGGCCTTTCCATCAGAGAATTCCCAGGGATGACCTTTGACACCAGGTCACAACCTGAAATCCATTTCCTTTAAATGTTCATTAGTTTTTGGAAACGGTTTTTTTTGTTATTAAATTCCATGTCAGTTGCACTGAACTCTTATATTTGAAAACATTTATTTCATATCTGTTGTGTCTGTTTTGACAAAGTTTTTAAATACACATGCACACACATATATACAGTATGCGGTACATATATATTTTTCCCATGATTCATATATATCATGCTATATTTATTTAGCATGAATACAATGGAACAACATGAAATACGTGGGTGGGAGGTGGAATTATTGGATATACGGTACGTGTCACTCTGCGAATGTATTTTAATTTGTAAAAAGCTAAATCCTATTCTTGAAGTTCCTTAATAAAGTAATGCAATAAATGCCAGGATTCTGACAGTCCTTTGACAGTGCACATTTATATATGCATAGTTTTAAATATATACATATGCATTATATGCATTATAATTATATTTTTTAAATATATGTGTTTATATATATTTATTTAAATATATATAAACACATATTTAAAAATATATTTGTATATATGTATACATCTAAGTATATGTACGTATCAACAGACACCTGTATCCTGATGTGTGTGTCATGGTGGTCCATATTGTACTGGTTCTCATCCATGTGAGGATGAGATTTATTTATTTTTTATCCTTTATTCTTGCCGCTGTGATCGAGGAAGTGTGACTGTCGGATACCGGACGCATCAGTGAGGCCAAGTGTTTGACAAAGGATTAGCCTGTGCTGTTCTGTCGTCTAATCAGTGAAAGATCAGGAAGAGCTGCAGTGATGGAATCACACCAGCAGGCTGAAAAGCAACGAGTCCAACACGAGGCTGGAAATTGTTAAATGTTCTTTTTTATTTATTCTGTTTTATTAGGTTCGAGGCCAGAGTCTCGGAAATCTGCTCTCCTTTTAATGTCCTATGGAATTTCCCCTGCACTGGAAAGTCCCAGTTATGCAGAGCCATGTGTTCGTGTGCAAGTGTGTGCGTGCACGCACATGTACATGCAGCCCAGATCTGAGCGTACTGTAACACTGTCCGGGCCAAATGTGTATTTATTGCCAGTGAGCTCTACATCAAAGTCTAACAAAGTTGTCGACAGGTTTCAGAGTGATCGATATATTTCTGCTTGATTGATTTTATTTTGTTTTTCTTTCAACCAAACATTGAACAGATATATTTAACGCAGTGATGATGACGTCATCGGAAAGCCTAGCGACTAATGAACGGATCATCTGTCGACTTCTAACATGTTGTGGTCGTAACAAAACAAGTGCTTTAAAAGTTTTAGCAAAACAAATTTGTCTTTGTTGTTAAATAATTCCTGGTTTTGTTGCAGTTTCTTCTGTAGGAAAACCTGCTCCGTTGTTAGACAGCGTCTCTGTGAAAGAAGTTAAAAACCAGGAAGTCGAGGAAATCTTTCTGAAACCAGAGTCACGGCCAACTGTACTGTGGTCGGAGGAAATGTCTTCAGACTTGAGTCATCCTGCGCTCTGCAGTGGACATGACCGACTGCAGAGTGTGTGTGGTGTTTTCATGGGGGGGGGGGGGGGGTGTATGTGTGTGTGTCTGTGGACGGCCTCATGTTAAACACTGTTGTTGAGTCTTTCTTGTGGGACATTTTCCAGGTCTTCACTGACTGAAATTGTTTTATTAATAATTTATTAAGATTCAAGAGTTAGGATTAGGATTAGTCTATCTGTCCACTGTGATGGACTGGGGAGCCGTCCAGGTCAGGTTTGTGTTGTCAGTTATACCGAGTCAGTTGTGATTCAACCTCCAGACTGTGATTCATTTGATAAAATCTATGAGAAAAATCAGGAACACGCTGTAATTATCTGTCGGAATCGTTGAAAATCCGCTCCACGCTCTGGTTTCCTGCAGGTGAAATACATTTAAATATGACTTTTTTTTTTACTTACAGTACTTCATTCAAATACTTAAAAAACGAGCTCTGGTCCAGACAAGCGTGATGTTACGAGGACGTAAAGTTGCATACATTAAATTTAGAAAATACCAGTTTTTATATCATTTTATTTCGTTGTATTTATCCACTACACCTCAAAGACCGGTCCGTGAAAAACTGTTGGACCACTGGTTTATACTCTTGCTGTCTGTTTGAGGTCTTTTGAGTTCAGGCTTTTTTTTTCAGATGTTACTGTTCTTTGTTGAATCTGAAGGCTTGTTGGGATCAAGTCACCTCACAGTAATTACAGTGTTGAGTTACACTGAAGGCCGCTGCGTCCTGTACCTGCTCCCACAGTCGGCCAACTCTGAGCCGTGTGTGTCTGTTTTGAAAATCTCCGTCAAACACTGTGGCTGTGTGTGAGATACAGTGTCACAATGGAAATGTTCTTGTTCGCTTCCAACCGGCTCATCAGAAACCAAAGGATCCGACAGGATGTAACCTGGACGATTTTGGAAAAATGTGTCGTTTTGGTTTTTTTTGTTTTTTTGTTGTTTTTTTTTGCCCTCAGAGAATCTGAAATTCATACCTAGAGAGAAATCCGACCGGCTTTGGTCTTCAACGGGACTCTGAGGCTGAGGGGGATTTGATTCATCACAGAACAGTTGTTCAGAGTCGTAAAAACAAGAGAACACCTCGAGTGAACTGAGGCCCAGTTAGATTCTGTCTTTACTAAGTCGTTAAGTGATGACATCGTTTCTTCTCTTCTTTTATTCACATGTAAAAACTGAGGAGAATCAGTGAATTAGTCATACATTTTTAACGATGTTAAAGGGTTGTAATTGTTTTGTATTTTTGCTGTTTCAAACTTGTTTGTGTATATATTTGTCTATATGTATATATGTATATATATTTTTATATATGTGTCTATGTGTGTATATGTTTAGTGATATACACTATGTCTATATATATATATATGCATATTTACAACATATAATTATACCGTATATAAACATATATGTAAAGATATATATGTGCACTATATTGTATATATTTATATTTATGTATATATATGTTTGTCTGTATATGTTTAGATATATATGTATACATATATGTATTCACAACATATCTGTATACAGTGTATTTAAATATATATGTACATATACATATATGTAGGTAATGTTTATTAATTCACAGTTCTAATCAAATATTTGACTTAAATAATTTAATATCTGGTAGACTGGACTAACATTGAAACTGTTCTGTTGTCAACATTGGGTGAGGACTTAGTTACTAGTTAGTCTAGTAACCCAGGTTCCATACTAGTTATGACGAACTGTTACTCGGTGGATAACGCTGTTTACTTTTCCGATGGACAGAACGGTGGGATTCTATGGAAGTATCATGTGACCTTCCTCTTGTCGTCCTCTAGGAGTCAGAGGTCTGGAAGAGTTTGTCCTGAAGTCTGCCACCCTGTCATCCTCCGCCGCCTGCCCGTCCTTCGCTCCGCTCAACTTTGATGCCACACCCATTGTACGGGTCGCCATAGAACCCAAAGGGCCGGTTGTAAATGGAAGACAGTATAGATGTAACTACTCCATAACATATTAATAAATGTTTCTGTAATTGATTACTATTTATTCAAGTTACAAATATTCTTTATTGCTGTGAAATTAAAGAAAACGTTTTTTTTTAATATCCAGGTTATGAAACTCTGCTGCATGGACTTTATTAAATGTCCTTTAAGCTCCCGCGGGCCATACACAATTACTTGGTGGACCACATTTGGGCCCCGGGCCTTGAGTTTGACACATGATCTAGAGCGTAACAATTTGAAAAAAATAAAAACCCAGCGTACAAGGTTCCATAAGGGTCTGTGGCAGCTTCCGCAACGCTCAAAATCCAACCGTTTTATAATCAGAGAAAACATCACATTTAAACCAAACTACCTTCAAGTGTGGTTTTGTTTCCTAGAATTTATTGACTGTGAAGAGCCTATAAGGTGAACAGGTGTGTGTGTCTTTGTGTGTGTGTTCTGTGGTCTGTCTCCTGTGGTTTACTCGTTGAGGTGAGATGCCAAAGCTGGTGTGTGGGATGCGTCTGTTGAACCAGGCTGACCCCTGTGCTGAGGTTCTGATCCAGGAAACAGGAGAGCATGTTCTGGTCACTGCCGGTGAGGTGTGTGTGTGTGTGTGTGTGTGTGTGTGTGTGTGTGTGTGTGTGTGTGTGTGTGTGTGAGAGAGAGAGAGAGAGAGAGAGAGAGAGATCTTGGTATGTATTACCCTGTAGTCAATATGTCTATATATATTTTTTCTGATTGTTCCTCCTTCATGAGTCACTTGTGAGTCAGTGTGTGTTCTTACTTAATCTCGTCTTAATTAACATGTGATATTTGATGATGTAACACAGGTTAAAAAAAAAATAAATCAAATGTCTGTTCATATAACGAGCCGCTGAGTCAGAACTGTTTAGTTTCCATTTGCAGCATCAGCATCATCAGCTGACTCATCACACGGGGACTGTTGTCTCCCTCTGTCTGGCCACAGCTGCCCCCCGCAGGAGAACAGCAGGAACCTGCAGACAGGAAACAGTTCATGCTTAATATTCACACACTTCATTTGTCATTTTTTTTTTTTTTTTTTTTTTTTTGCTGTTTGACACTTTGTACTTAAATTCTAACCTGATGAATAGCAGTAACAGAGAGCGCTGCTAACGTTGACCTTTTCCACAATAACTTCATAATAAACCTGTCAGTGGACGAGGGTTTGAAGCCCATGTTTGGGATTGGAAAAAAAAGTTATGATAAGTACAGTAAAAACTGTACTGCGTTTTACAGTTAAACCAACAAAATGGCCACTCTTGTGGGGGTCAAGAGGTCAAGTCGGACTGAATCACAATTATTCATACTAAGTCAGACTAAGTCAGACTGTGAATCCAACTATATTGGTAGATATTTATAAAGATGACGCTCTGTGCCTAAAGTTATTGATTCATATGAAGTACATTTGTAGGTCATGTGACCTGCTGCGGGACGGTGACATCACTGAGTCTCGTCTTCTCCGATGTTCTTTAATCAATAAATTATTTTTGAAGGTTTGCGAAGATTGAAATCAGCGCCTCAGCGCCCATCATCCCCTTCAGGGAAACCGTGGTCCGTACTCCTAAAGTGGACATGGTGAATGAAGATCTGGGGAAACAGCAGAAAGTCGCCATCATTCACCAGGTCAGTTGGTTTGTGAGGTTTTTTTTAAAATAAAATATATATTTATA